AGGGAAATGCACGGAACTATGGTGGTGGCACAGGGGTGATTTGGTGATGGGAAACCCACGGGGATTACAATCAAGATGGAAAAAAAAATGTGCAAAATGATGTAAAAATAAACTTTGTAATAAAATAAAGAAAAGAGAATAGTTAGCTAACATAGGAAACAGAGATGTTTCCTAACCTCTCAAGCCTTTTCCATAGTATGGAGGGAATAAAAGAAGAAAATAAGAAGAAAGGGAATGAAAAGAGAGAGGGAGAAAAAGAAAGAGGTGGTCAGAATTTCCCCTACTTATATAGTCAGATATACGTTATAGTAACTTTGTTCCCTTAAATGGGCTATTGTACATTTAAGGGGAACATTTTAATTAGATGATTTATATAAATATTCAACTTGAACAAACTATATCAAAGGACAATATAACTGAACAAAATTAACCACACTTGGCCTATATTTTATACTATTCATCATAATCTCTCCAGGAAGAAGACAAGATGGTTTTCATCTGAAGTAACCTACTTAATTCAACTATTTCCTTTTGAAATTGTGAGACAACATATAAATACATGGAATATACTTTAAACTTGTATTTCTTTATAATTGTACTTATATAGCCTCATGTTAGAAATACACATAATCTGAAAGTATTTCAAATATTAAATTAAAATATATAATTATGATAATTTAAAAACTGGAAATATGCAAATCATTACGAGTTTAGTTTACTAATCTTGGAAAATCCAGCTACATTAAGAATTTCCCAAACAACAGCTTCTTCTTCCAAATGGGCACAAAACACACCTATTGCAATGTTTGGACTCTGGTACGTTATGCTAATTAGGGAACAATCAAAAAATAAAATTACTTCATATTTTATAAAATTCTGTGGTTTGCTATGAGAAGATCTATGACAGTATTAGCTATAAAAAAAATCATGACACTTCAGTGACAAGAGATTTTTCATAGCATGCCAAGTAAACACTGGGGCCAACAAATAATAACAGGACATTCCATGGCAGCTATAGAACAAAGATCTGTAGTATAAATTAGAAGATAATAGTAGAAAAGTTATTGTCAGTAAATAGATTACAATAACTTTTAAAATAACTTAAACTTTTAAAACCTAGATATTTTTTCCCATAAGCACTTTTAGACAACTGATTTTTATTAATAAAAATTCCTATTCATAAAACTGACTAGGCTCTAGGAAAACAGACTGATGACCACAACATTTGTTTTCCAAAGCAATTACTTTTTCTTAGAATGTATCCATAACCAGTCAGTATTCCCTATGAAAAACCTTTTGACACATTAGATGCAACCTTGTCCCTACCCTTGGTTAGCTATTTACCATAAAGTTAAATTCAGCAGGTCTGGGATGGGGCCCAGGAAGCAGTACCCTATGGTGCAACAGTCTGTTGCAAAACCTTTAGGAATCTTAAACCACAGAAGACATGGTGTGCCTCTTATTTGGACATGATGCAAATCAAGTCAAAAGATAAATGGCTATTTAATAGTGTATTTGACTACAGAGATATTAAAATGATTTTGTACATAAAATACATTTACTAATCAATTATTTGATCTTTATTGCAAAAACTATTTTCCAAGTTATACTTTCACAAACATATTGTTCAACAGAAGAGATTAAAAATAGAATATTCTCCATCTTAATAAGTCACACATTTTCCTTGATATTTGCAAACCAAGAATTAATCTATGGAAACTTTATCTATGTCACTAGGAAACTCAGAAGAGTCAAACTGTGAATAACATCGCTTATGTTATTGCTGACCCATAATCTCCCAAAGTTAGAGAAGCCATGAACTAGCCTATACACATATTTGTCAGTGTATAGATATGTTTGCAAGAAGATGTTTACAGTTTAATGTACTTCTGATGTATTCTGAGAGCTACCTTAACAATTTCACCTATTTGAAATGCACAAACTTTTACAACTTGAAGCACAACCAGATGGGAAAGTGCTGAAGCAAACCTGGTTTGAATATGTAAAATGCAAGGCCCATCACATGCCTGGTTAGAGTTATTGAAGAGTCAGGCAAGGATTAGCTTATATTTCTAAATCCAACTATTTATTATCAGTATATGCACATTTGGCAGTAAATACCAATCTGACAATTTTGTGAGATAATTTATAAAAGAGGTTATTTTGCTTGCTCAGTCTTTTTTTTTAATAATATAATAGCTTAGTTTTACATCATTTTTGCCTTTTTCCATCTCAGTTGTAATCCCCGTGGGCTTCCCATCACCAAATCACCATGTGCCATCACCACAGTCCAGTGCATTTTCCTCCCCCCACTGTTTTTTGATCCCATACCTCACACCACCCCATAAAATGTCTCTGGTATATAGCTGTTCATTATTATTTGTTATTTTTCTCGCCTGTTATGAGTGAAACCATGTGGTATTTTTCCTTTTCTTTCTGGCTTATTTTACTAAGCATGATCTTTTCCATCTCCATCTATATTGCTGCAAAAGGCATTTATTTATTTATTTATTTTTGGTTGCTGAGTAATAATCCATTGTGTATATGTACCCCATTTTTTTAATCCAGTCATCTACTTTTGGGCATTTGGGTTATTTTTATGCCTTTCCAATTGTAAATAAAGCAGCAATAAACATGGTGGTGCAGGTATGTATTTGAATCAGTGTTTTTATGCCTTTTGGGTAAATAACTAAGAGAGGGATTGCTGGGTCATATGGATGCTCCATTTCTGTTTTCTCAGTCTCATTCCACAATACCTGAGCTTGAAACACTAAAACAAATGGAAAGCTGAGAAGTGTTTCTGTGCTCTCCATAAGGCAGGCCGTCAAATCTCTCTTTTTTGATTTGGCAACTGCTAAAAATCTTTCTAGAAACAAATTCACCTAGATGCTTTCATTATTTCTTTATTTACAGCAGGCAATAAAAATCAGATTTTTGTTTCTTTACAACTGGACATACTTTATTTCCTAGTTGTATTATTATTATTATTATTATTATTTTGAAGTATGGCTGGTTTACAATACTATACACAATTTAAAAAGGTATTTTAAAAGACAACAGGAATTAGGAACAGCATCTTGTGGTAATCTTCAACTTTTAGCTTTAAGGTAAGAAGTTCTTATTCTTTGTTTCTCTGGCTGAAACTGAAGTCCATTTTCTACAGCACACTAGAATTTTGAATAGCTAGTCAATATTCTTTGTGAAATAACTTTTGACACATTACAATCAACTTTGTCCCCACCCTTTATTAGCTATGAGACACTGGGAAATAATAAAACCATGCATTCCTGCAACATAAAATATTAAATATAATTTTATTATACCTCTTAGTGTTTAAATAATTTTTATGTTGATTCAGTCCATCAAAGTCAACCCTATGAGAATACTTTGATTGCTGCAGGCCACTTTGTTATGTGTTAGATCATAGGAAAAGACATGATTTAAAAAAATCCACCTGCGTGAATCCCAGTAGTAACAGAGATAAACTGATATAATGGGTATAAAATACTTTCCGAATTAATGAAACTCTGCTCAAGGGAAGGTTGTAATATAAATAATAACATAACCACTAGTTGCTCTTCCTGGTTTCACTGCAATGCCCTCCATCACATTAACCTACATCCATTTTACTTTTAATAAAATAAAATTTTGCTATCATTCATATGCACTTTCCAAATACATTAAAGAAAAACGAAATTGCTCACAATTCAAAAAATATTTAAAGACTAAAATAATAATACCCAATTCTGATAAGTTATACTCTGGTTTTAATTTCTCATTACCTTATTTGTAATCAAGTTTTATGTCTTAGGTTAACTAAGATTTGGTATTTCTATTCTATTTCTGCAATATAGATTTTGCCAAATAGTTCCTTACTTCTTGCTAAAATTAACCTTTTGCCCACATTTTTTAAAGCTCTCCTTGGGGCCTCCTTTAGCCTAATGGTTAAGTCTCAGCACCATCACTGCTACAGCCTGAGTCCGATCCCCAGCCAGGATGCTGACTCACATGTGGTGCAGCAGACCTCCCTTGTCTTGTCGGCTGCTCTCCTCAGCAGTGTATTTCAGTAGATACACCTGATCTGCTTCCCATTGTGTCTCTGGTGAATCCTCTTGCCCCTGCATCTCTGGCCTATACTCCAGCTCTTATATGCATAAGTGCATAAAAATAAATCTCTAAAAGAAATACATTATTTTTCCACATATACTACACAAATCACTTGGTCTATGAAAAAGTCACTGAGAGTTTTTAAACAATCGTTATCAATAATAGACATTAAGTATTAAGAGTTGTTCCATACCTGTTTTATTGGAAAGTCTAAATGATACCATCTTATCTGGAATATTACATACATTTCTCACTGAAGCAATGCAGCTATAGTTAGCATAGTCCTGAGGTCGAAGGTTCTTTAGTTTTAAGATTTTTGTTTCACCCTGAAAATATAAAAGAGATAATTAGAAAAAAACAATGGCAAATGAATAAATGACAAGGAATTATTATATATTAAGTTCTGTTATTATGAGAATGATAGAGTACCTTATTTTTTAAAGAAAATGTCTTAAGTTAAAAAAAAAACACTCCTTGCATTTTAAAATAATAATCTAATATGCCTGAAGGTAACATCTTACAGACTACAATGAAAATTCATAACATTTTCTTTCCAAATTAGCTTTCTAAGCAGGGGAGAATCTATTTTTGGTGAGTTATGCAAATTAAGCACAGATCAGAACAGTGTAGTTATTAATGGAGTTTATTCAACAAACAGGCAATCTATGCAGGCTTCAACATTAAATGTTATCAAAGACAAGGATTCCAAAGAAGAGCCAATAATTGAAACACTGTTGGTAGAATAAGTTAATGAAGTAAATCTAAGATGGGTAATTAAATTTATACATAAATATTTGGTTTATATGGAACAATGATGGGTGATAGGTTTAAAGTGTCATTAAAAAGTATTAATGAGTATTCCAATATTATCATTGTTCTCATTATTTATGTGCAGGAGTTCAAGGTCTAGGTCTTCCAAGTAATTCTGCAAAATTGCAGATGACTCAAATTAGCAAATGGCCAGAAATATTTCATAAACTCTTGATGAGCCAGAAAAGACTAAAAATTAAAATTGAACAAAGTAAAAAGGAAAACAACAGTAAAAACAAAAATCTCCTGTCCAATTTCAGTTAGGCGGGTGCCTGGGATTTCTAAAATAATCAATACATCTTTTAAAATAGTCCCTTTTATGGAAGTCTCCTGCACTGCTGATGAGAATGCAAACTAGTACAACCACTATGGAAAAACTGTTTGGAGGTTGCTCAAACTGCTAAACATGGAGCTTCCCTATGACCCAGCAATCCCACTCCTGGGTATCTACCCAAAAGATACAAAAACACTGATTCAAAAAGATACTTGCATCCTCATGTTTATTGCTGCATTATTTACAATTGGAAAGACATGGAAACATCCCAAATGCCCAAAAATGGATGACTGGATTAAAAAGATGTGGTACATATACACAATGGAATATTACTCAGCAACCAAAAAAAAAAAAAAGAAACACATGTCGTTTGCAGCAACATGGATGAAGCTGGAAAAGATCATGCTTAGTGATATAAGCCAGAAAGAAAAGGAAAAATAATGATAATAAGATACTCCATTATACTATGAGTGAATGGCTTCACTCATAGTATAATGGAGTATCTTATTATTATTATCATTATTATTATTATGAACAGTTTTATACCAGAGACAATTTATGGGGTGGAGTGAGTGGGAAATGGGATCAAAAACAGTGGGGGGAGGGAAATGCACTTGACTTTGTTGATGGCACATGGGTGGTTTGGTGATGGGAAGCCCAAGGGGATTACAACTGAGATGGAAAAATGCACAAAATGATGTAAAAATAAATTATTATATTATTTCTTAAAATGTCACTTTATAATTGACTTAATTCTGGAGATACTAAACAGTATGCAATAAGGCCATATTTGTTACAGCGATTTTAAAAATGTGAATATTTTTCAGATAACATCTGTATAAACCATGTCTTTTTAAACATTTTTCTTAAGTAATCCCACTCTACACTAGTCATATGTGACTCAGAGTGTTGGAATAGTCTGGCTTAATACATAAAGACACTAGCTGTTCATTTCTTTTAAAGCCCATACTTAGGCAGGCAGACAATTTTCCAAATGTGTCCACTAAATTTCTCCCTCAGTTTGAATTGGCATTGTGGACATAATTCCTTTCTTTCACTTTCAAAATTTAGCCTTAAGTCAGGTATGTTACTCACATTTGCTAAGCAACTATCTTCTAACTTTTCTTTCAGAAAGACATTGTATTTTTCTACAAACATGCAAATATACCCCACACAAATAGAGAAAATGTGTGTTTTCAGAACTTATATTAGAAACATATACACAATGTATTACAGAGTTCTTATGTTTTAGTTCCTAGAAAAATAAGCTTAGATCGAAGTTACAGTTGAAAGAAAATGTTATGACCGAACCAACTGAGTGATAGTTTTTGAATGAGATGACATACTTCATTCCTTACCTTTATGTCTATAACTTCCTAGATATTTATAGAATTTTTCTTTTATTTCTCTACACCATATCTACAACTAAATGTTGGCATTTTGTGGAATTCTATTTGTTCCACAACTAATCTCACTTTATAAAATTCTCCCAGGTGATGTTATACTTGCTGATGAATTTCTAATACAAGTCCTGTTCCCCTGGTCCTCTCAAGTCTGTATTCCTATCCAGAATTGTCCGTTAAGTTTCAAATGCATATATCTAATTTTTACATCAACATGTCCATTCTTGAAACACCTATCTGAAACACCTGTATCTAAGAAACACCTATAATTCAACAAGACTATTCTATTCTTATGAACCCACACTTCCTTCTTTAATAACAGGAATCTTAGCATTTCAATTATTGCTTCCTATTCATATTTTCAGTATCTCAACCTCCGCTATTTTATTGAACTGTTTAAACTTAAACATCAATCATTTAAAATGTATTATTTATGACAATGCTTTAAAGCCTGAAGTTACAAAAGCCTGATAGTATTTAGTATTGTTTAAAAATGAAAGCAAGCATAAAAAATCTAACCAGGAATAAGATCTGGCCATACCAAGTATCTGCTTAAATCACAGGAATGGCTTGCTATTGTTCTTAAAAATAAAAACAACAGCTATTAAGATGATTTTTAGCCTTATCTGATCTTAATTCTCTTTGCATCATTTGTCACTTCTTTGACTTTCTGAATATCCAACTTTCTTCTACTATAGACCTTTTTGCTCAAGTGTGGTTCCCATGTCTCTCTGCCCAAGAAATTTCACCTCATTTATTATATTACTATATTCCTCACTTGCACAGGTAAGTAAGCTGAGATTTTAACACCCGCAACAGGAATTTATATTACATTTTGAGATGATCCCCATACTTAGAAGACCAAAATGCACTATCTAATAAACACAATGCTTTGCAAACATCATGTCCCAGATAATTTCCATGCAGAAAAGAGCAGCAAAATGGCAAAGAAAAGATAAAATGAAAGACTAATTTTTACTGTAAATTCAAGATTCACCACTTTCCAAGGGTTCAGTTGTCATGGAATTGGAAAATTGCTTAGGGTGATTTAGTAAGATTTATTAACTAATGGTGATTTACAGGACAGGAATAAAGGTTAATATGTAAGATAACTTTGTCAAACACAAAAACAGTGAAGTTCTAGTAAAGAAAAACTATTGAAATTTAGAAAATAATAGGCAGATTTACGGAAGAATTTGAATTTTGCCCATGTAATTCACTATATTCAGGAGATGATTTGGGCATTGAGGCTGACCTTTCATTTTAATAAACAGTTTTAAAACACAGAAAAATTTCTTAAATGTGACATAAATAACAAAACAGAAAAATATCAACATAGTGTGTCATGCATATATATGTATATGTATACATATATGAATGTATAGTACATATTTACATATATTATGTGCAAAGATTTAGACTTTATCATTTAAAAACATTTTATCACATATACTAATTTAATTACTCATATAAATTTAATATTCTGTGATGTTCGAAGTCTTTTTGCATGTGAATTTCCATGATTTGTAAAAAGGAATTTTCAGTTGATTATTGTCTAATTAGTTTAATTAGCCTAATTATAACTAATTATGTAATTGATGTAAACATGTTCAGTCTTGTAATTAGATGGTGTAATTACAATACACAAGATGATGTCATAAACATCTTTATAAAAGTTCTACAAAAACAGAAAAAGTATGTTGGTTTTGTGAAATTTAATTTTTTTTACCTTTACAAAATATTTTGTAACACCTAAATGTAAACATTTAAAACCGATTTTAAAAGTAAAAGGGAACAAATTCTATACACTAATTAGTAGATCATGGAATAAATGCAAAAGCCTCAAACAATATTTCCATTTTAGATATAAAAGAAATTGGAATAATATTTAAAATTATTTAAACATATCAGTAAATAAGTAAGACTTCCTAAATCACATTTTTGTTATAATAATTAATTTAACTTATAAATATACATTATGAATTTATAATATGTATGACTATATGCAGCCTACATCTTCAATATTAAGTGAGTAGAAATATAAAAAGCATCATTATTTCATTTAGACATTACATTATATGCTGATGAATACATATCAGCCTCCAGAACATAGACCAATTTGATTCCAGAAACATAAAAATAAGGCAATATTAATACCTTATTCTTTAACAAGATAGTGAAATATTCTCCAAATTCTTCTTATTATTATTTATGTATATGAGATACCATTATCTTGGTCATTATATATTATGCAAAATAAGCCATTGCTACTGAATAGCAATTTTTTTTTTAATAAATTGAATTTTCTAACATTAAGGGAAGAGAGGGAATGGGAAATCTGGGAGACAGGGATTAACTGGTGAAGAATGGTTCAGATCTTGAATGGTTAAATAATATAATGTAGTAGAGACAGATAGACAGATCTAGGAAGATGCAAACCTAAGGCATATAAACTTATAATGCAATGTTACTTCAATTAAAAAGACAAAGTAGATTTATCACCTCAGCATGAAGAGCCTTGCATAATATATTTGTATCTTTAGCAGAGAGTTGCCCTACTTTATTGGAGAAAAATTTAGTTCAAGCCTTAAAAGATACCTTTTTCTGCTCCCAGTAGAGGCCCATTATCAGTAACTTTTTGCTTCTGAATAGGACTCTGACTCTAAAAACACTCTACAATATTCCTGGACTATGATTTTGCAAGAGTTTAAGAATTCTCCATCTTTTTTTTTTTTTTCTGGCAAATAATGGCAAGGGATCTCAGAAAGACTGAACTCAAAAAGGGTACACATCCATAATATGCACAACATGATTTACTAATTCCAAATCCAGATTACCA